GTTCGATGTGTCGATTGGCTCTTGGATGCGAGCTTGAGGATTTCCGGCACTGTGAAGAGCAAGCGAGATAACGAAAGCGAATCCTCCTTTACCGTCTCCTAGCGAAGGAGGAGAGAGAGATCAAAGAGCGAGGAGCGAATCAGCGGACTCGTTCGGAACTGCTGATCTCGTCATCGCGACTATCGATTTCTGAGGGGGACTTCCCTCGCCTCTGTAAGGCTCAGACTTAGGAGTTTTGTGGCTAGCATATTCTCCGGCTATCGGGAACTCGAGGGCTTCGCCGACTTGATGATCTCATTCTTGATCCGACTGATTGCCAGGCGGACCCTGACTCGAATATGCGTCTGGGGATGAAGTAATTGATAGCAGCAAGGAGGGAGAATGAAAAAGGGTCCCGAGAAGATGTCCGCGGTCCTTGCGGGCCATCGGACTCTAGTAGAGCCGAACTTCAGTCGGGTGTCGGAAAGATCTAATCGGGACTCCTCTTCGACCGACGGATTTTCCGCTTTCTGAAGGATCTAAGATCATCGGTCATCCACGACTCTGACCTTGCGGGGAGGTGCGAACGAGCCTCGGATCGTCCCCGGGTGTTAATACCGTGCGAACAGGCGTCCGAGTAGATATCGTGGCGCTGTACCTCCCAGAGCGTTCAATCGTCGATGAGGAAAACTCTTGCATATTCGTCACAGGCTCACTCACAGACCAGAGAGAATGTCAGCTGAATACCTACGTTCAGCTCCTGAACGGGACCTCTTCCCTACGGGCCTCGATCCAGGTTTCACGTCGCTGTGATGGGAGATAGTTCCGGTCTCCATGAGCTGATTTCTCGTGTCCACTTTGCTGTCCATCCTCCTCGCCGCTGAATGAAAGGGAAAGCGAGATGTCGTCCAGCAGTTTCCAGTGTGGCTCCACGCCAGCAAGCCGCTCCCGCCAGACGGGCGACTCCATCACAACCTGCTGATTTCGTGAGCCGTGGAACTGTGCGCTAGACAGAGTGTGCCTATATCATTTGGAAGTGATCATACAGTCTGGTGAGTACACTCGACTCGGAGTTCCGGCCGGTCTCTTACGCATAATGCCGACAATCCGCGGCTAGGCTCCACAGAGCCAGTGAAAAACGATACTTTGAGCCTTCTGATGGGAGGCACGAAATCAACGAGTAGTATCGAGCATACGTACACGGCTTTCGCAGCGATGCAACGCTGTATCTGAAGAGAGCCGTAGAATGAGGTCCTAACGGAATCAGGCGAGCAGCAGCTCTTCTTCCAGCCCCGAATCTGTAATATTTGATTCCGCCGATGCGAAACACAGTTGTTCTTGCGATGAGCGCTTTCCGCGAGAGGCGGCTCAAAAACCTGACAAGCACTCTGCCTTCGCTCACTTGGTTACTTCTTCCGTCGGATGTCGTGCGAAGCCAGAAGCTCTCTCTGGAGCTGCATTTCATCACGAAGCTTCGTTTTGGCTCCGAGTTGAGCCAACGAACTCGAATTTATCGTGTCATACAGAACCATCGACCGACACCCAGCGACACTGCGATAGCTCATTTGACCGTAATGGAGCTTCGCCTCAAAAGCTCTAGAAAGCTCCTCAATCCGCTCGGAGTCAATGATGGTTACTCGTTGCTCATCTCCCGATCGACTCCGTGCTTAGCCGATATATGAGGATGGGAGCAATTTGGTAGATCGCCCTTGGAATTTTCTAGCTGGGTACCTTTTCTGATCGCCGAGTCCCGGCCCCTGATATTTCGGAGATAATCAGCCTAGCGAGTAGTTTTTCGTTTATTCGTCATGTTTCGATTCAGCAGTTCATGTTCACTGGAGCGACAGTTGACTTCGGCTCGACGGATCCACCCGCTATCTACGATCTCCAGCTGAAGAGTTTCCTACCTTCGAAGAAAATTCAGATGGCAACCTCGTTCGTTATCGGAGTCGACGTTGGATCGAGGTCGGCCAGAGCCGCTCTCGTCACGCTTAAAGGTAGGTACTCAAAGGATCCACTCCTCAATACTGACTCTGGAGGGGATCCCGAGAATTTCCGTTGTCCACTCGTGCAATTATGCGCTAATTACTATCAAGGCAATTCTCCTTCGGTGACGATGATTCTTTCGTACTTTGAAGGAAACCTGGTGCGCAAAGCCGAGAGGCCTTTGATCGTTCGTGAAGAGAAGGGCGAAATCTTCGAGCAGAGTAGCAATCAGGTGAGATCCCGGAATATATTGAATGAACCGGGACATTCCATGCCGAGGGCCGTCGGGGGCTGGGGTCGCCGTTGAACCCGAAGTCTTTAGTTATTTCATGGGCCGCTGACGCCAGACTGGATATTCACCCCGAGCGCCTCTGAAGCTTCACGCGGGGGATTTCACTCAGGTCCTCTATCTCTCGCATGACGCCAAGTTCAGGCTCCCGAAGCTCTCTCTTCCGATATTCCTGGCTTGGATGGCGTATCAAGCCACAGACAGACCAATCGTAATCTCTTGGATTCGTGGAGTTCCCTGCGGCCCATAACGCTTAACTCTTTTTAGGACGAGAGCGAGCATTAGATTCGTTCCCGACTGATCATTTAGGACGACCGCATTAATGACCTCCCTCGCAAATGGTGATGAATAGGGAAACCAGATTTGAGCTCATCGGGAATGGTCTAGATTTCGCAGTGAGCCGTCGTCGGTCGTCAGGTTGCTGGTCTTTGTTCATTGGCTCATCTGGACAGACTCGATTGAGACAGAGATGGATCAGAGACTGATCTGATTGGAGAAATGCGGCTCTCAAATCGTCGAAAAGCTGCAGAGGAATTTTCCTGCGTACAAATGCTCGATGAGTGCGATGAGAATCTGAGTGAATCATCCCGGGCAATCTGGAAATTTGTGATTGATATCTCATTTATCTTATTGTTATTATCTATCATTATATCAGCAATCTTAGCAGGCAACCACTGGGCGATAGACAGGTTTGACGACGACCAGCCGTGAGGGCGTATCCCGCCCAGTAGAAATGCGATGACATCATATCAATTTGAAGGCTATACATTAGCTGAATAATAACGATGAATGGAGAAAGACGTGAATTCTGCGGAAAGCATGCGTCTAAGCAGCCTGAAAATTATATCCGGATCTCACTGAGGTGATTACTCATCGACTGAAAGGAGTTTTGAGTGTGTTCGGGGAAGGGGAGCGCCAAAACCTGGTTCTGTGTCAGATACACATTGCGATTGTGTTCTATGTTTGATTTTATCCGGTAGGGGGGTTACGGAGATGATCCTCCACCGATGCAGTGAGGAAATCCCGATCGATACCTGTCAGCATTTTGTGACCATCTTGCACATCTTTCCGTGAGTCGACCGAAACCTGAGATATCTCGGTCAAAAGCGACTCCCCTAGAAGAATTCAGTGAAGAGAAACGTCGCTCAGACTTACCTAATTGACTTAGGTGGACAGTCATCGAGCCATTTTTTGAAGCCGTCATGCGAATTAAACGCCAAGCCACTGAAAGCTCCGGCAAGAGTCTGATAGGAGAAGTCGGACTCCTCCAGAAGCGCAATTAGTCGAGCCCCCTTTTCGCAGTCTCCTGCTCGATTCTCAGCTTCCAGTTTCTTGACACCTTCGGACTATTCCTCCTAATTTGCAGATCTGGGAAGCGGTTTGTGAGTGCGTAAGAGAAGTGGCGTCCGGAGTCGGCGTGGATGACATCAAAGGTATCAGCCGTCCACAACATTTATACTCGTTCCACGGCGTCTCGGATGACATCGCCATAACATATTGGGAATGAAAATATTTCCATTCTAGGAATCGGATTCGATGCCACTTGCTCATTGGTTGTTACGGACTCGGATGGAAGCGGCGTGTCTGTGTCGGTTGACGGAGACGATGCATTCAACGTGATCATGTGGTGTGACCATCGGGCTTCGGAAGAGGCCGCAACTATCAATAAGATCGAGAGCACGGTTTTATCAAGGGTCGGAGGGAAAATCTCGCCCGAAATGGAGCCACCCAAATTACTCTGGCTTAAAAAGCACATGCCACAGGCATTCGCGCGGATAAAGCATGCGTTCGATCTTCCAGATTACCTAACGTACAGGTATGATAAGGCACCGAATTTCGGTATGTTCGCGCAACAGGATATTCCTCTCGCCCATTCATTGCCCCATGCGAGGGCAATTCCACCTTATTCCCTCGGTTCCAGAGCGAGCGGTTCCACCTCCCGGAGTTTATGCTCTTTAGCGTGTAAATGGACATACCACGAAGGTTGGAACACCGATTTTTGGAGAGAAATCGGACTCCCCGAGGTCGCGGAAAAGCTCTCGATGATCGGAACCGGAGTTCAAGCCCCGGGAGCAATGGTGGGGTGCCTCTCCGAATCCGCCGCCCATGAGCTGGGCTTGAGCTCGTCAACTCGAGTTGGGCACTCAATTATAGACGCACATGCCGGGGTGCTCGGAATGCTTGGTGTTTTCTCACAGAATGTCAGTTCCGAAATTTCTAGTCGGCTCTGCATAATCGCTGGAACATCGACCTGCCACATGCTGCTCAGCGATAGCGAGCTATTCGTACAAGGTGAGTCTGCTCGACACCGACCGGAGACGCCATCGGAAAGACTGAGCGATGAAGTACCTACTCGTTGCATTTTGAATGAGCCTTGGCTGACATTGGGTTCCTCTGATTAGGTGTCTGGGGTCCCTACGCAGGAGCGATCATTCCCGATATGTATCTGGCTGAGGCGGGACAATCAGCAGCTGGAATGCTCTTGGACCATGTGATCGCATCGCACCCGCGACATCGAGACGTCGCCGAAACGGCTCAAAAATTCGGCGTTCACATTGTGCAGTATCTGACGCAGGTCGTGGCGCATCTGGCGCACTCAAAGAAATGCTCAATAGACGAACTCACGAGGGACCTCCACGTGTATCCCGACTTCCACGGGAACCGTTCACCGCTGAGTGACCCCTCGATGCGCGGAATGATCTCAGGTGAGTCGATACTGCGTGAGCGATGGAATACCGACGGAACTCCGAGGGATATGTTGAACAAGCAGGATCTCGACGGGGCATCTAATTGCAGGACTACAGCTGTCGGATAGCGAGCACGATTTGGCACTGCTATTCCTCGCTACGGTCCAAGCTCTTGCCTACTCCACGAAGCACATCGTGTCGAAACTGGAATCGCGCGGCCATCGGGTCGACAGCGTTGTCATGTGCGGAGGTCTGGTCAAGAACCCGCTATACGTGACGATGCACGCCAACGTTCTGCAGAAACCCGTACTCATACCGGAAGAGCCGGAAGCGGTTCTATTGGGTAAGGAAGCCACCGCGACGGAGCGACCACTTCATGGGGGATTTTTCATCGGAGCGAAGCGACTCCGCCGATGAATCGTAAAGCTTTCGAGGTTTCATCTGGTTGACGACTCTTCCAGGAGCCGCTATGCTAGGAGCAAGAGCCTCGGGTTGCTTTGAAGACTTACGCGAATCTGTTAGAGAAATGTCCGGACGAGCTTCCGCGAGATGGCCTGACCTGAGTACCGCGGCTTTCCATTCGAAGAAGTACAGAGTTTACCAGGAACTCCTTCGATGTCAGATGGCTTCGAGGGTCATCATGAGCGATTGATCTGGATGGACGCATGCGGATCGAGATCCAGAACAACTCAGACAGCGCCGAGTCTCGGTGACCGGCTGATCCAAAACGAACCCGATCCCGAATCGGAGGATCATTCAAGGCAGCTGGATATTCGACTTCGTTCCGTCGTTTATGTACATAGGAATGTTCCAGTGAGATGTAGAATAAAAAAATCCTTGTTTGAAATCCGGCATCTTTTCACTCTACGCATGTATTCTCCTGTCTTCATCGGTTTTTTGCTGCAAAGAGAATTCGAGGCTGTGCCGAAGCTGTCAACGTGCAGCCATCGATGAATTTTAGGGACAGCTGCTCGCACGCAGAGGCCAAATTTTCCCGGTTCTGGCAAGCAGTCTCTTTTCGCTCTCGATTGCTCCATCCTACGCTGCTGATGCAAGCAGGATTCACGGCAAACCGAATGAAAATATGGAGCTTGGCGGAAGCATAGAAACGGAGCTCCGCGAATCAAGAGTTTCTCTGGTGGAGATTATTGACACCAATGATATCGTGCGATATCGTAGGGAAAGCGCTTATTCCCACATTTTCTGGAGGATGAAACGCGAGCGGACACGACAACGCCGAAGACGACACTAGATAAACAGTACAGTCGCAGAATATTTCCAGGCCGGAATCTTGACGTCGCACTGTTCGAAATGCGCGGGAGCCCTACCACCACCTCCGACTCGAGATTGTGGAGGGCCAGGCTCTCCCCCATCGGATTGATACTTCTCTTGAAGATAAGCCTCTCTGCCATCTCGCTCGACAGGCTCCTTTGGACGCTTTCTCGGATGTCTCATTCATGTGGACGGAGTAGTCAAAGACGCCGCAACTTGCCAATATACGATTAGGGGATCCTCAAAGCATGGCTCCTTGCCAGCGGACCGGGCGCGGTTACGAGGGGGGAAACTCATCAGCACTCGGTTTCGGGGACTCAGTCAGTTTCTCGATTCGAGCATCTGAAGCTCCGTTCATCAATCCTGGTCCTCGAATATCAGACGAAGTTTCTACGATTCGCTGTCGCTTCGTTGGTCGAGCGATCGTACCGCGTGGATGGTCCAGAGATTAAAACCGCTGAAGATGAGCATAACGACGTTCATAAGAGCGGAAAAGCTCTCCCATTCCCGTCAGGTGAAAGTTTCAGTCAGCGTGAGATGTGAATCAATCCTGGAATAGAGGCGCATCTCACTTCAATGAAGTATGTATCTCACCGTCTCACATTGAGCCCGCAGAGCTTGAACGGACTCGGTCGTGGTTTGAGGGAGCTCAGTCCTCCTTGTCGTCCGACATTCGATTGAGATTGAACGAGAGGAATATGTTCCCCTAGCTCCAGAGGATGATCGTTTCGACTATCATGGAGATTGGAGTGCCGCTGCCCATGGACGCGCGGCGATCCGCAGTCCCAGCTGAACATGGGGCGTCAGTGGTTTCTCTGGTAAATTTGCGTTTCCTTGCAAACCCTACTCACGGCATGCCGTAGTACGTCTGATGTGTAATGGGTTGTGACCTCAATATTCCCAGCTTCGGAATCGTGCCCTGTGTAAGGGAGTGCTCGTATACATAAATGTACACACGTATCGGGTGGTCTGCTTCTCTCTCTGAGGCCCGGCCATTTTTCGGAAGGAACGGACCGAATGACGAGCTCATTCAGCACGATTTAGCAGTAGTCTACCCCTCGTATTTTCCTCGACTGCAAGGCGGAGTGCGAGACCCGTACCCCTCAAGCATTCCGCTCACGATCGCACTCCACGTTGTTGACTTCCAAGGAGATAAGCACGTATTGGAGAAAGCCCGTGTTCCTCCGAGGGTTCTCTCCGATATATCCTACCTCCCGATGGGTATTAATCGAGAATTTTTCTCCGTTTTCGTTAAGGAGACAGACTTTTGCTGAGAATGAGAAAAAAGAAAGACACACAATAGATCCGATTATCCGAATTTCATTATCTGAGTGAGCAAACTGAGTACTCAGGGGATCCCTCTACAAGAGGTCGGTTCCGCCTATAAAACTCCGTCTCAATCATGCTCGTTTTGGAAAGCTCGCACGACTCTCATATCCCCCATAGGCTCCCCGCGAGCTCTTTCTTCCAAATCCGTCGGCGGGACATACTCCATGGACAAGGGACCGAGTCCCGGAAGGGTACCATCTCAGAAGCCAGAATCGCGAAAGCCAGAATTGTGAAAGCCAGAATGGCGAAAGCCAGAATTAATGAGAGCCCAGATTCATGGCGCCAAGGGGGAGAACAAGAAACTGTCAGCGACGAAAAGGCGCGAAAACTCCGTCTAGAGGGAAGCGAGGAGGCAGAACGGGACACAAATTCCGTACGGAGACTCAGCTAGAAAGTAGTAGGAAGCGGGATCCGACAACACCAGAGGAAACATCGACTTTCTGTTTTGGGGGACGTTCCGTCACGTATCGCGTACGAACAGCGAGCCTCTCGACTTATATCATAGAGAGTGAATGTATTCGAGACTATCCCGGAAACGGATACCGATCGGCTACTGCTGCTCAGGATAATCCACACCGGGGGCTCACCGGGGCTCTAGCCAATCGCTGGAAAATGATACGTACAGAACACAAAACTCGAGAGCAAGCTTTTATTGCTCATGAAGCACATCTCCGAACGCACAGTTCCCAAACACACCCATAGCTTTGGAACACAACACGACCTTGTCGATAAGTCCCGCTCGTCTTACCTTCGTATATGAACGTCTCCTCTGAGGTCCCAGATGAGCACCACTGCGACTAGTCGCACAAGGGCCATTCAAGCTTCACCGAATGGCGGTCTCTACGTCAGAGAAAATTGATCCGATGGGTAGTCGAGTTCCTCCTGAACGAATGAGTCTCGATCGAGTAAGGGCTCACTCCGCTCGGCAGGATTCTGGCTTTCTAAAACTCGGGCTCCCAGAGATTCCGGCTCTCATGAATTCGGGCTTCTACTAATTCGGGCTTTCACAATTCGGGCTCCCACAAATTCATAATTTCATAACTGTGGCCTCCACAATTCTGGCTTCCATAAATTCGGGCTTTCACAACTCTGGCTTTCACAATTCGGGCTTTCACAATTCTGGCTCCCGAGGCAGAACCCCCGGGACTTCGTGGTTCCCTCCGGGTTGTAGCGGGCGAGAGATTCAAACGATTCTCCTTTCTCTGCGAACGGGAGAATCGTCTCGAGGGCTCTGCCTACCGCCGAAAAATCTGTCCTCGAACTTCATGGCCATATTGGAATCGGGACGACGTGCTTGATCGATTCCAAAGTTGAGCTACATACGCATCGCCCCTCTCCCGGCTTCGAGGACTCGACTGGAGCCTGATTGATGAAATACGGGTACCCCGAAGTTGCATTTCTGGCGGACGGATCGCATTATGTTCAATCCGCAAATCAGAGGCGAAAGAATGCAACTTGACCGGAAATGTCTTCTTTTTTTGAGATCGAGGGATCACATTGACATCGGACGCGGAATCCTCTCATCTCAGAAACTCGGGATCTGGGACGGATCAGATTCGTTGCGACCCAGAGTTGAGCGTTTGATTGATCTTCGCGGAGTGTCGATCGACACCTCCGCTCTGATTGCGGTTTGCATCCAGGCGGAACAGATCATCGACCGAGATCTGTGGGGCTCGCGTTCCTGACTCAGATCGACCGTACCAATGAGCATGACGCCTTTCCCACGTATTCTTCGTCGCGTTCTGTTGCGGTCGAGCTCGAAAGAACGTGCACGCTTTGCGTTTTGCTTCCGTCTGCGGAACAATTCGGCCCCGCCGTAGGTACCGTAACTGTCACATGGTGATAAATGTTCCGATAACAAAGCATTCGGATACTTCAGGAAAGCCTGTGGCTTTTTTCATTGGAAGCGAATTCGGAAAGAGGCAACCACGATTCGAACGACGCCGACGGCGCGACGTTTATGGTGACGTCGCCGTCGTCTCCGAATCTCGCCGCTCGAGCGAAGTGGCCAGAACGGCAGTGTTTTGCTTCTTGCTCCGCAAAACGCATGCTGTTGCCGCCAATGGCCTCCGGACTCGCTGCGGATCTCCGATTGCTCTCGTCGTGGTTAAGAAAATTTTCGGCATCTGCAGTCGAATTGTAAACGAAATTCGAGTAGCAGCTGAGGGTGACGCCTCTGTGGGGAATGTTCGGGGTCCATTTCGCGATATCGATGATGGAAGGTAGTGATTCCGTCGCCTGAGATAAATCAAATGGGTTGAGCTCATATGTTTGACGACATGCCAATTTCAGAGCTGCCTTGCGAAAGTCTTTCGAAGGATAATCGATCGGCCGGATATTCGAATATTTTTAGAGAATGCTTGGAATTTCTTCTAATGAGGAGCCTTTTGCCAGATCCCATGTTTCCAGCTGATATCCAGAAACATTTGACATCGCTCCGAGACGTGACAACCCACTCAGAAGATTGTTGCGTCACTGGTCGCGAGGCTTCCTCGCCCTCTTTTTCCCACGAAAATAGTCGGGGAATAGGAAGCCTCTGTCCACGAAAAACAGGGAAGCTCCCCTTCAGGAAAAACAATAAGATCTTGCACCCGGCACCTTCCCCGCAAATCCGTATGTGGTAAGTAGTCAATGTCTCTGCTCTTCTGATATCCAATTTCGCTCTATAGAAACCTTCATTATTCTGTTAGCTTCAGCACTCTCTTCGTCGGTTCTTCTTTCTTCCGGCCACGATTCGATATCGACTATCTCAAGAGGCGGAATGGAAGCAATCGTGCGCACAATTCGAAAACTCGGTGGAGAAATTCAGAATGGTATCCGGGCCACGGCGCCGGCGGTAACAAAACTCTCGAGAGCTATGTTCTCACTTACTCGATTCCATTGCTCCGACGACCAAATCCGGCTCACTCATCCAGTGCGTCGAGCACCCCCGAATGCAAGACACCTGGTGCCTCTCCGCGAACATTTTTTCGGTCATCAACCCTAATTGAATGCCCATCCAAAATCGCTTCTATCGAGCTCGTCCTTCGTTCTCAAATGTTCTTCCGCATTCAATGACCGAATACTGTAGTCTTCTTTTGACAGTCCTCCCAAAATCGAAATGGATGGGCTAATATTTCTCCCTCTAATCCCTTCAAGCACTCATCCCTTTGTCAATAGAGAAGAGCATTCAGTCCTAGCGGCTTAAACCTCATTTTTCTTCCGCCACTTAGGTCTTCGG